CTGTCAGCAATCCATGCAATACGGTAAGAAGAAAACTGCACTATGTTTAAAAAGAAAATAAAGTCAAAACTCAGCCACTAGGCTATGTTTTTAATTCCTTTGGTTTTGTCGGATTACATTGTCCCAAAGCATTGAAAATATCTGACTCTTGTATAACAAAGTATATTAAAAGTGACTGACATTTAATCTGTCAAGATCACTGTCTTGTAATAGCACAGCAGATGGTGGGCAATATTTTGTCTCACAGAAATGATTTCTAATTAATCTATGTACACGTGTTGCTCACTTCACCCACTCCACTAAATAAAGTTCAACAGCAAAGTGAACCATGGAATTTTTAGGTTTTTCTGAGCTTTTAGCCCAGCAATATTTTACGCATTAAGAATCAAACCTACACCTAAAGTAGTATTTTGATTTTATATAAAATATTTTGTATCCTGCTGAATTGCAATGGGCTCATAAAGATGCATTTCTGTCTTTCACATGAGGAATTCTTCTACCATTAGCTGTTGTTGCTCCCAACACTTTCCTGATTAAAACGGTGATTTGGGTAAATTTGGTTTTTGAATGTGCCACTCCACTTTTCCACAGTTTAATTACTAGGAAGTATCTGGAACCTTAAATCAGATAATTGATATCTTCAAAAGAAGGTGTCAAGTTGAGGAAGCCAAAGTCTACTCCATTTTACTGCTCATACCTTCAGGAGCTTTGTCTTCCTCAGATTTTTTACATGGCATCTTTGGCTGCAGTTTGTATTCCCTGTGTAGCAGCTGACTGCCATTTTAATTATGCCTTCTCAGCGAGGCTATCTGGGTGTGACTGGGGATTTTGGTTTTGCTCTGTGTATTTTATACATAGTGACTGAGGACTGTGAAATAATAGTTGTGTAGATATCACATTTCTGTTTGCATCTGTATGCACTTGCCATCTAAAAATCCAGTATTTTTTTTTCTTTTCTTCTGTTCCTCCAATTTTTTGGGTTTGTATTCTGTGGAAACCCCAGGCACCGGGAATATTTCTCTGTCTGCTCTGGGGTGCCCTGACCCCCAGGCGAGAACTGACTTTGACCCTCATTCATTGGAGAACGTTTCCTAGACTTCAAGATAGATTAGAATCCACAAAAGTGTGAAATAGATTATAGAGAGAGTAATGTAGGTGTATCACGTGGTGAGAAATTTAGGTTTTGGGATTTTTAGTGTGTTGTGGATGGAAGAAAGATGGAGGGCACAGGGTGTTGTCCTGGGTTTCCTTTTCATTCTTCTTCTTCCTTCTTCTTCGTGCGTTTGGGTGGCATTTTGTAGTGCGCATTGCGGGCTCTTTGGGATCACTTTGGGTTAAAAGGGAAAATAATCTAGGTCTCAGTTTTTAATTGGATGGTTTAGTCTTAAAAGACCTTGTAACAAGAGATTGTTAGCCATGTTGTGCCTTTAAAAAGCTGTCAAACTTAAACTACCTGTTTTACTGATAAGAAGTAATAAACACTTGAGTCCGAACATGAACTGCTGTCTCAAGTGCCTTCAATCCAGACCCAGAGAAACCAACAGTATTCTGAATACATATAAACATTACTCTTTCTACCTGGCAACCAGTATGTCTAAAAACATTTATTTCAGACTCCTTTTTTCATCTTATCTAATGCACTTCATAAATGTTTTTGATATTCCCAGCCTACATTTGCCATTTTTCCAGATGAAATGTGCTTCTTAAATGAAAATCCTCTAACTTCATATGAAGGAATGAAGATATAGAAGCTGTCTGTATTTGAATTCTAGGAATTTAGGCATGTCAGATTAGTCTGTTGCTGGCTTCATTTTCCTTTTCAAGCTCATGGATTTGTTTCCTAAATAGTACTGTTGTACTTCATTGGCTTCTTACAGTAGTTATTTTCTCAGTCTGATTTCAGCAAATTGAGATGGATATCAACATGTTGCCTTTGTAATACACCAGACAGCTTCTTACTTGGAGATTAGAAACCTCCTGAGAGCTGAGTTTTCTTTCTGTGCTGTAGTTTCACTGCTGCTGCACAGAGAGCATCAGTATTAGTCCTCTACCAGCCTGGTGTGAGACAGGGACACAAACTTGTGAATATTACTCACTGGGTATAATTTTGTAACACTCAAAGTGTGAGCTACAATGGATCTTAGATGAATACTAAAAGGGAATATTTATGCATTTATATTCATGTAATTCTGAAACAAATGGATGGATTGACAACCATTAAAAATGAAAATTAATTGTCTATTAATTAAGAAAATAAAGAGAATTTTATATGTCCATATTAAGGCTTAGTAGCTGAATGGACAAAGATATACCTTAACATTGAGTTAGTGTGAATTCCAGCTGAATGAGATTGTCTGAAGTAAGAGCATAATCACCTTACTCCCCACACATAACTGGAGAAGGGATATAGGGTGCTAATTCAGACCTTAAATAACTGTAATTGACTTCTGAAGAAGGGCAGGTAACTCTTTCTATTTTTTCATGGGGTGCTATTGTGACTCTCTACTTGCTTTTGTGAGTCAGTCAGTGAGAGAAATACAAACTCTTACTGCTACTGTATTCAGCCTTGCCTGAAGTATAGGCTGTTCTGTCAGGAGCTTTCAAAAGTTTCTTCTCCAATTGTCTTCATCCCTTTTTTATCTTCTGTATTCCACTCCTGCTTGACCCATCTAGAGTCACAGAGCTGTAATTCAATTCAAGCTGAGAAGGACCTCAGGAGGACTGTAGTCCAACTCCTTGCTCAAATCAGTGTAAACTGTAAAGTCAAACATATTGCCCTGAACTTTATCTGTTCAGGTCTTGAAACCCTCTAAGGATACAGATTACACAGTGTGTCTGGGCAGCCACTCCTGCTGCTTGGCTGAAAGTCAGAGCTATACCTGATTTGGTTTATTACCATTTTCTCTTATTTATTTACTTTATTTCCCTGCAAATGCAAAAAGATCTTGGCTCCCTCATTTTGAAATTTCCTTTCAGGTATTGGAAAGGTACTTCTAGACACCTCCAAAACCTTCCTTTTTTTTGATCTGACAAAGCCCAGCTCCTCCAGCCTTTCTTTATGGGGTGCATTCTCCAGCCCTAGTGATCTTGGTGGACCACCGCTTGACTCACTCAGAGTTTGCTGATGTCTTTCTTGTAGTGCAATGGACACGTTAATCGTAACTAGTCCAGATATGCTCTAAACATTGCTGGATAAAAGGAAATAATATGAGCTCCTTGTGATCTTGAAAAATATTGTGATTCAGAATCCAGGAATCAAATCAAAAAAATCTGGAGGCTATTTAGTGTAGGCTAAATCAAAAGAGAATGCACTCATGTCAGAGCTCCCTGGCAAGCCCTGTCACCCTTATCTGAGAAAACCTTTCTCTATAAAAGTTAGAACATTTCTTCTTTGTTTTTCTCTCATTCCATCAAGGTACATAATACATGCAAAAAAAAAAAAAATTTTTTTTGAGTTGGTGATAAGTTATTGTGATAAAATATGAAGAACAAAGGAAAAATTAATAAAATTAAAAGGCACGTGAACTCAAACAATAAAAAGAAATCTCAGTGACTGACACAATACAGAAAGCATTGATTCAAAATTTCTGGTTCAAGGGATAATAATATGTAGCAGCTTGATATGAATGAATAACAACAATATATAAACTTTTTATAATTAGGACAAAGTTTAGACGGGAATTTACAGACACTGCAGGCACAAGGAACAAAGCAACTCTCAACTTCTGTTAGAGAGATTTCTTGTAGGCTTGCAACTGGGAAAAGTCTAAACAGCATTGTGGAGTTATACATCAGGCTGGAGAGGTCATTGCCAGAGAGGGTGTGTTGTATTTCAGGTAATGGTTCTGGCTGGAGGGACAAGAATCAATTTGCTAAACACAGGGATGACAAGAAATATTTGGTATCAAATAAACCCTGTAGGGTTTTGTGCTCTCAGCTAAGTACTGTCCAGATCCCCTTTCTTGTTCCTTTCACATGTTTGCTGGCTGTGGGTAAGCCTAAACTTGTCCCACTGCTTCTCCTGTATCTCCTACGTGAGTTGATGTCTTCAGGTGAAGGAGGGAATTTTTTGGGATGCTAACAAATTATGGGTAAATACATAAGCCTTCTCACATTGAAAATAATAATGAATGAAATGTAAGTGAATGTCTCTGTGTTTGTCAGCAACAACACAGGTGTCAGGACTCGAATTTCTTTCTGTGTGATGATGCTTGACTGCTGGTTGGGTGCTGCAGTGGTGTTTTGAAGAGTCAGGACAAGCCAAATCTGTGCTAGCTATTACTGAAAGCTAAATTATAGGCAATAGGATCAAATGACCACTTAGAGGATGAATATGAATCTGGGCATTATCCAGAGGGGTTGTGGTGTCTCACTGCTTTGAGTTATTCAGAAAACACTTGGACAAGGTCCTCAGCTAATAGCTTGAGGTTTCTCTGCTTGATTGAGGGAGTTGGACAAGATGACCTTCACAAGTACCTTCCTACCTCAACTGTTCTAGGAACCTGTTATCCTTTGCTATTTTCCCAGTAATGAACTTTTGAGGAAATCTCTATCCTTTAAAAAAGGATATCTTGATAAATCTACTGAGAAAAATATAATGTAATTAGAATCAACTATTTTAACATGTAATCAGAAACTATTCTGAAGAAGAAAAGCAGGCTGCACCATCAAGGTAAAGGTGATAGCTGTTTTCAGCTTCAGAACAAGTGAGTGAACATTAAGGCTACCTTTTAATGTCAATATAAGTAGTGGAACTTCAGCTACAAGTGGGACATAAAAAAGCTACTTGTTAAGGAAAGTGCAGTGGTTTTTTTTTTTGGTTGCATCATTATATTACACAGAAAAAGACAGCTCTTTCATGATGGTAGGACTTTGAGAACAAAGTAGTTATCTGCAGGATATCAGGTGAGTCTTAACAACAAAACTAAATTGCTGAAAATATGTTATTTAACTTTTTAAGTTTATCTTTTTTCTTTTTTTTTTTTTTTTTCTTGAAACAGTTGAAGCTCTGCATTTGGGAACTCTGATGGCAGCACATGGCTATTTCTTTCCAATCTCAGACCATGTTCTAACACTGAAGGATGATGGCACCTTTTATCGATTCCAGGTAAGTATTTTCAATATGTTCTTGACTTGCACAAATGGAGGCTCAACGGCCTTACAGATAAGTTCATAGCAAATTTAATCATACTTTGTTTCTTACATAACCTGTTTAAGAGTATAAATTCCCCTAAAAATAACAAATTGTAGAAGAATTTTATTTATAATTTTTCAGCAAAATGGGTGATGACTTTTGATGACAAAGATGATAATGAATTTTGATATTTGGAATAAAAGCGTGATAATGCTGTATGGAACTATCTCTCATGAAATAAATTAATGTACTATTTTTGAAATATAGTTATATTATGTTATTGCCTTTTATTCCTAGTATAGTCTGAATTTAGAAAGGGGGAGATATTTTAAATATCAAGTCTATACCAAAAATCTGATAAATAACAGAGGTAATATTTTTCTTATTTGGTGAGAGTTTCCTTACCAGTAACTCAGTAGTATCAGAGTAGTGTGTATTCTTCTAGCAAGTACAGAGACATTTTTATATTGATCTGTCAGTCCCATTGCATACAACAAACAGGCAGATGGTTTAGAACAAGCTGGAAGCATAAATATGTGCATATGTCTTTACCTACACTTGCATATATATTATTCAGAAACCCACATAGTGGTATTTCATTATATTAGATTTCAAACTAAGGCCCCAAGAGCAGAAGCGTTGTTTTTCTAATAATGGCTAGTGGGCTGGAATTTTGCAGAACAATATTGCTAATGACTTGAAACAAATATGACTGCAAAGTACCAGATTATGGATTCAATTGAAAGAATTCACTTTGTTTGTCATGTGCCACTTTTGACAGTGGTGGCTGTGTTTTGTATTGCTCTTTCTATTAGGTGGTGTTCCTGGTCGGTGTCACTAACAGCTGCTCCCAGCTCTTGTTTAGATATTTATGGCTTTGAAATGATATGATGACTATCACTATGAAATTGAGTTTGTTAATTCTTTTCTGTTACTTCTAACTGTATTAAATAATCAGTAAAATAACATCTGGTAGAACAAAATCTATTGTCTTCATGATATATAGGTCTAAACTTTGTCTTAAAGATTGTTTAAATCAGAAGCCATCAAGAACAAAATAGTACTGAAATTGTGATCTTTCAAATGCAGAAGAAAACTGGTGATTGGAGACCAGTCATAGTTTCAAACATCATATTATATTAATCTCTCTGCAATACTTTCACCAATATTTTGGCTCAAGTCTCATAGACCCATGTAAAGGAAGAGAAAGTCATGTAATATTTGTGTAAATCAAAATCTTAGCATGAATATAATTAAATATGCACAGCACAGTCTGGCAATTAAGAGAGTTATTGCATACATGCAAACAATATTATCCAGTTTTCATATTTAGATCCTGTGAGTCAGACTGCAAAAAAGTTGTTCTTCAGCAGAACAGAAAGTTAGATGTGCACATGGGTAAAACTAAGAGCAAGCATTCCAAGCCTCCTCCCCTAGACCCACAGTTACCTTTGATCCTGGAGAGACTACTTGAAAGAGAGGGGTTTTTTTAAGCTCATGAGGCTTCAATCCCCTCCGTGCTCAGTATAAAGAAGTATGATGGCACATGATTGAAGGGGCTTGCTGATGTGTTTATAAGGTAAGTGGAAAGGAATCATGGAGTGGTTGAGGCTCCAGTTCTTGGCTTGGTGTTTGAATAAGCGATGTCCAGAAGGACAAAATATACAAGGACTTAATTTTGCAGAGAATAGTAGTTTCAGGAGTGCTAGTCATTGAATTCTGCATGGCTGCCTCCATCTCTAGCACAAGAAATAAGCACCTCTACTGGCATGACAGTCTGACTGAAGGAAAGCACAGACTAGAATTAGCTGCACCGTGGGCCACTGAGAGTACTGCAGCTACCCTGCTGTGAGCTTTCCTGAGAGAGGTCCACAGCCTACGTTTGGACACAAAGCTTCAGCAAGGGCTAGATTGTATAATCTTCTCAGTGTATTTGCATAAGTTAAGAATTTGGCACCTATTTGACAAGTGCATATGAAATAAGGTGTTTTGATCAAGTGTTGCTCAGTCTGTATCTGCAGTGTTTGTCTTGTTTGCTTTTCTGTGGTACCTTTTGCATTGCCATTCCTATGCCAACAATGTGACTTTGCTGTTGTGACAATGCAACTTTAGCTGTTAATGTATAGGATGAGCAAAAATTCATAGTGGTGACATACTGCTAACTGGAGTTATAACAGCAAAATTTGTGTGCTTACATCTCCACGTTCCCCACCAAAATAACCTGGTATAAAATCTGTTACTGAACTGCTAAATTAGAAGATGAAGAGAACATATTAAACGGGGAAGAAAGTTTGACTGCAAATGTGTGAATTTTACACTAGAATAGATGTTCATGTTCTCTGCACATAGTACCCTCTTAGTACTGGACAGGATTCACAGATTTCTGGATATTTTGATAAAATAAAAACCATGCACCTGCCAGCACTGAAAAGTTCAGAAGCCACGCCTGCAGTGAAATCTTTGCAATACAAAGACCTAACCTACAAAAAACAGACTAGCTATAGTAATGTTCTCCATGTGCTTGATGTTTTGTGTTCAAAAGGGTGACACATTCCCTCCTGACAGTAAAATTATCTCTAGCTTGTTTTAAACCACCTTCTCTTGTATAGAAATAGCTAAAAGCAGTGGAGGTTGATCTTCATTTGGACAAATGCCCATTTATGGGCAAAAACTATTCTTTTCCAGTTATTACTCTCGACATCAAGAGGTAAGAGTATAGTTACATCTCCTTTTTTTAATAATATGAGATTTTAAAAAATTATGGATCATTCAGTGACCTACTCAGGTGTTAATTAGATTCGTTTCTGTGCTATCAATTTAATACAAAGGAGATGAATGTAAATATTAATTGCCTTATTAAGAGAGGAATTTTTTAATTAGACTCAATAAGAAAAAGCAGAAACAGCTGCATTGCCTTTTCCTGGTAATTTAAACCTGTGACCAAAAAAGGAGCTCACCATCTTCCTCTACCTGATAGCAAATAAATATGAGGGGCCCAAATCAGAAAAGCAAGCTCCATCTTGGGAAACATATCTTCCCTGGACAGGTATTACTCATGGAGACGTTTCATTTATGTCCACACAAATGATAATATGTCCATCTTGAAGAGGAATGCCTGACTTCCCCTCTCAGCTGGTAAGCCTTTGTAATACCATCCCACAAAAAAAATGTGCTAATTTCCTCTACAAGCCCTGAATGCATAGAGTCTCCCGATGTTAATTGTGAAAAATAACATTTCTCAGTATCTTTTGGCTGTAAACAAACTCCTAGGATACCCAAGACTAGTGGTAGTCACATTTTTAAATGAGATTAATTAATGATTTAACATTAATTAATTTTCTGAGATGAGGGTTAGGTTTTGCTGTTGTTTTGTACCTTTTAAGATGAAAGGCAAAAATATCTGAGGAAAATATCAAAACAAGAACAGTTTCTTGTGAAAGCAAGAGTGAAGATAGCAGCAAAATTCGTGGATCTTGGAAAGATGAAGGTGTGGACTTTGATATCTTGTCCTGTTCTGCCACTGGGAATGCTTTCTTGACAAATGCATTTAACCACTCTGGTTTGTTTTCCCATAACTAAAATTTGGGATAAAATTGTATAGCAATCACTGTAAGGATCTTGAAATATCTTTGTTGCAAAATAGTTTAGAGTGTGAAGTGTTATGGACTCCTCATGTCTCAGGTGGAGTTACATTGCTTTGCACATCTCTTTGGGTCAGCCTTACTGAGCTAACTTCTTCTTGGCTCATTCTGGACCAGCCTCTGGCCATTCTGAATTCTGAGTCTGTGGCTGAACATCACAGCTCTTCAGCCACTCTCCAGAGCCCTTCTGCATCATCTGCTGTGCCTTGAGGGAAGGATTTTATTTGAAGCCAGATTTTAGAAATTAAAAAGAAACAAGCCATATTATGCAGAATTTGGCAGATTTTTTTGGCAATTGCAGGTGTGATAACTAATTCATTGTCTTTTCAGGTCAGGCTTGGTGTATGCAGGTTCTGTTAAGGTTTCTGAGGGAAAAAGATTTTAAATCCCTGTCTCTTTCTGACTGCCCCATCAATGCCACTTTTGATTTTTTAAACTCCTTACTCAGGCACACTTTGCCCCACACTGCTTTCCATGCTCATCCTCTTTTCGGTTAGAAAAGAGGGGTCACAGAGCCAAAATCTTGTTTCCAAATTCCTTGACCTCTTTTTAAATTATACTGAGCTACTGGAGCACTAGTATGGAGCACTACTTGCTTCCTGTATGAGCTTGACAGTGCTAGACTAGCATTCTTATCCTTTTACTTTACCAAGAAATAATTCTTTGAAGTGCAATGAATATGAAACAGAATGCCAGTGAAATCTGCCATCCATCATGCAAAGCATTTGAGATTGTGCATAGCCACTTTTCAGCAGAGGCTTCATTTCTGCTGTTTATAAAGACTCCCTGGTGCCTGAGAGAAAAATAGCAGTAATATGCAAAGGTTTATAAGTGATTTGAATACTCGTCCCCTATCCAAGTAATTGGATTTTAAAAAATTTTGTGGAGTGGAATGGAGCAGCTTCAGAGACAACAACTCTTTTCTTATTACTATCAACAAGGCGTAGCTGAATGATGCTTAGTGATTTCCCTTCTTGTTTATACAGTTTAATGCATAGAAATTAATCATGTTTTATAAAAGCTGATGGGTAACACTGATTTTTACAAGTGGCTGTTTCATTAGCTCAGATATTGTTATTGATTAATTTTGAGGTAAAGCCAAAGCAGATCTATTTATTTTATTCACTTTATCTATTTACTTTATCACTATGGATTCCTTACAATGCATAGCAGCCACTGCTGCTAGTTTGTTTATTGTGGAATATGTGCTATATTACAGGATTTTGTTTCATATGACTTTATTACAGCAGGATTATGGATTTATGTGGTTAGGTTTACCTGATGATATTAGTGTATAACTCAAAAGAACAGTATGTGTTTGTGTGTGCAAAACTAGTTTTCTGGTTAAAGGGCATGAAGGTCTTTGTAACTGTTTTGTTCTGGAGGCTTAAATGTATCTGCAATCACATTTGCAGTTCTAGGTAAGCCTTATTTCTCTAGCTCCTGACTTGTTCTGGCTGCTGATACAAGTTACACCTACAATCAAACAAAGTGCTTCAAAATCATACTGATAAAAACTGGCAGCATCATTTCTGCCTGGGCTGATAAACAGTGCTTGACTTTCCCATAGCCGCTCTACCACCCACCTTCCTTCAGCTCTAAGTGGGATGTCATGGCAAAATGACAAATGTTCCCTCTTTAATACTTCTTCATGATGAACTGCTTCATATTTCCTTCTGAGGAGAAGTAAAATTCTCAAGGATGATAATTCCTTCAGGTTTTCTACACTCATGAAAGATAACCAAACCACATCAGTATTTCATTATCTTCTCTTTGAAAATGGTGGTGTTATGTAATGTACATGTTAATAAATGTACATGCTATACCACATCCATAGCTCTCCTGGGTGAAATCTTCACTACAAGCTTCCATATCATGAAACCAGGCACACAGATTGTGTAATGTTCATTCTATAGGAATATTCAACATTGTGAGGGATGCTATAATTATTCCACAGTGTTTTTGGATATGTGGTTTGTAACAAATAGTTGAACCAAGCTTTGTTTGCATAGTCCAGCAATTTAGAAGGTAATTTATGTGAGCAGAGCCTCCCTGCATTGCTGTGGGATATTTTTAATAGATCAGATGAGATCTTTTCCTTTGCACATGCCTCCTATTCTCATTCTTTGACCTCATTCCATTAGACCAGGGGTCTTCTTATCAGACTCTTTTTATTTCCTAATCCTTCTGTGTTGAACAAGGCAAATGTTTTTCCTGTAGTCTTCATGGATAACCTCACTAGCAAATTCTTCTCAGAGATTGTTAAATATCTGGAGCATGAAATTGTGTGGGGACTTTTGAAACAGAAATGGAAATGTAAACTCAGCACATGCATTATAGTCACGTGTTATGTGATTAAACTGTTTGATGTCTGTAATAAGGAACAAGGTAAACTTCAGATTAAGACCAGAATTTTATGACTGTTAAAACCAAGCAATTAGACAAGAAAATGTGGAATATTCTTTTGGAAAAACATCAGTCATTTTACTACATGCATGTTTATTGTTGGTCCTTTTTGTCCATACGGTCACAGTATTGCAAAAGTTAGGAAGCAGAAACCGATTTTTATATAAGGCTTTATTTTTAGTGTCCAGAATAATCAAAGATTTTTTTTTTCTTGATGTTTTGGACTTACTTTCTGTTTAAATCTTTATCTGTACCTTATTCTATTTTTTGCCTGTTTTTAGGAGAGTTTTCCTTATCTCTGCACACATCAATGCTATTTCCTGCTTTGAAAATGTATAATAGATAGCTGCTCTTCGAATACAACTTTATCAGCAGTGGTAGCTGCATTTAAGCACATATCTTAGGGTGATACTGTAAGCCTTTACTTGCTGGTAACAAAGTAACATAGGACTTTTCCTTGGTCAAAATACATAGCATCTAATGTTTATTTCTCCACTAGTAGGGGTTTTACAGGTCAGTGACCTAATTTTTGAAAAATCCAAATGTTTTTAACCTTTAGCTTTCAAAGATTGGAAAAATATAATGTATTACAACTGTTCAATCTAAAGCGTAGATGTAGAAACATTACAAAAGAGAAAATTTGAGATTTTACCTTTTGCGGAAATACACGTCTTCCCTTTGCTGTAATCTTCTGAAGCTCCTCTGCTTTATGTAAATTTTTTTTAAATTACTGTCCATGTTTTGAAGGTTACTTCAATGAATATTTTTTCCATGTATAAATTACCCTTTTGGTAATTGTACCCCTTTAAACATCATGCAGATAATTCAGTACCTTTGATAACTCTCACCAGTTAGATAGTCATTGTTACAAAGTACTGGAAATAGAGGAGAAAGATAAATACCAGAGGAAGTATTTAATCAAAATATTTACATGTGTATATAATCACAGTCCTGAGGAATCAGGAGTAATTTTTTAGCTTGGTGAGGCTTTTTTTTTGTTTGTTTGTTTTTTCGGAAATAAACACAGTTTACCCATGTGAAAACACAAGAAATCCTTAAGCTTTCTGTGCTGAATATCACCAGCTTTCTAACCTGAACTGTCTGACCTCATAAAAACATTTCCCTGCCTGAATTTTTTTTGCCCTGTGCTTTGCCCTGTAGCCTTATCTCCATGTCCAAATTAATTTTGGGCATGTTCGCAGAGCTGATCGTGGGCAGAATTGAACTTTGTTCCCTCGGGGAGCCAGCTGGCTGGAGGCCAGCTCTGGCCAGGCTGCAGTGCCTGAGCCCATGAGCTGTGCTGCTCAGCAAGTGCCATTAAACGCATCCGAGCAGCAGGCAGGCAGGGTCGTGGCTCGCAGTTCAGAGACAGCTGGTGCCTGCCCGGCTCAGAGCCTCGCCAGGGAGACCTCCTGCCTCTGAGGAAGACCTTTGTCTGCCCACTGTCTCCCTCTTTCTGGAGACTCAAACAAGGAAGGCATTTAATGATCTTCTGTACTAGCTGTTATTTGAACCCTTTTCTCATCTTGTAAAGTCTGCCTTTTACTGGCGTTTCTTTTTGGCTTACCCTATCACACATCTTTGAAACCTTTTAATATGGCTTATTGTGTGCTTTGCTAATTAAAACTCATGTTCTGTTTTAACTTTTCTGCTTTTATCTCCCTGGCACAGGGAGGCTTACACTCATCCTTAGTAGCCAGTGCATTATTTTCTGCTTTTTCCTCGATCTCTTCTCCACATTTAGGTTGCACCTTTTTATCCTTTGGAAAAGCCTTGGTCATCTCTGCCTCCTAGTGAGCTAAAGTGACAACATTTCACAACACTGAAGATCATGTCCCCTTTCCCATATTGTGTTTAGTGCCCACACTACCTTCACCCCCAAATTGCAAGTTTCAATAAAATTTAAATGTGTTATTTAAACTAAATACTGAAAAAAGTACTCTGGACACATAGATTTTCATTTATATATGAAACAACAGAGTCCTCCTCTAACATCACTAGCATAGCTGTGAATATATAGTATTTGTTCATAGCCTGTTGTGAGATGAATACTGAAAGCAAAGTTTGTGATTTTTCCCTAAGTCAGAAGATGGAATTTGTTTTTAATCTCAGCTGCGATGGGAGTACATGCGGTTTGTCATGAAAAATCCTAAGTATGCCTGAGGGCCTTTAACGTGGACTTTGCAGCAAGTATGGCCACAACTGGAAGAGTTTCAGCTGAAGAACTGCTTGAGCAAATATGATTTCTATGTATTTAGTATCTCACTACACAGTTTTTTCAGAAGTTCAGCTTGAACCCATAAACAGAGGTTAACCTTCCTTTTAGCAGAGAAATGATGTAGCTGTGCTTTTCTTCTTGGGCCTCTCTGGATATACATTTTGTGCTCTAAGGAAGGACTGTTCTCACTTCCTGAGTTTGTAAACTGTATATTTCAATGATGGTGACTTTTTGCTTTATATGAATCACTCTATTAAATGTTATAGTTTTTTCTCCAAAATGTGCTGAGTACTGCAATTAATTCTTCAGGAGTTCATCTTCTTTCTGTTCGCATTTATATGTGCTTCTACTGGTCACTTTGATTTCAGTGGTGCTGTGAAGGAATGGTTGATTGGAGAATTACTTATTGTTGGTCCCTTCAAATATACCAAGTGGCTTTCAAGAAACACAGCCTTCTTAGCCTTTGAAGTTAGCTTGTTATAGTTCTTTTTTTATCTTTTATCTCCTTGCTGTTGCTTGATAAATAGCAAGTTCTAAATTGGTTCTATTAAATTTGATATGTCAATATTACAAAACCAACAGATTTTTCACAATATATGTTTAATTTGACAATTGGTGTGAATGTGTCACCCTTCAGCCCTGTTGGTTTCCAGATTAACATCGAAATAATTTTGAAGAGAAGTGGGCAGTAAAGAGGTTTCCATTTTTGCAGCTGGGAGATTTTTGAGAAAAAACAATAAGAAATAGAGAGTAAAGCAGAAGGTTTTCCTGAAGAACCACCTGTGTTTTGAAATACCACTCAAACCACTTCACACATTTAATGAGCTGCATTCAACTTCTCAAATATTATGTAATTCTCTGTAGCAGTGTGTGTGTTTATGTATAGATCAGTCACTCAATCACAGAATATTCTGAGTTGGAATGGGACCCACAGGGATCATTGAGTCTGATTCTTAAGTGAATAGCCTGTGTGGGGATTATGTTCTCTATAAAAATGCTGTAATAATATCCATTTTAACCAAAAGTTGCTATTTTAAAAATGAAGTAATTTTATGAAAAATGTCTATACAACCTTATATTCTCCATTTGTTTGAAGTGAAGTCTTTTAATAATACATGTAGCACAGTTTTGATAGGTATAGTGTTGAAGTAGTTTTTGGTACTTTATTGTCTTTCCCTTAAAAAAGCCCTGCATTTTAAATCACAACCAGTAGACACTCATTAAAAAGTAGACGTTGATGTCTTTGTGAAAACGGAGTGTTTTTAGTGGCATTTTTAAACAAGCAAAACCTAGGAAAGATAATTGAATATTAATCTGTGAATGAAAACTCTAAAAAATCAAGAACTGAATGAACTTCAAAGTCTTTATACCTCTAAACCTGATTCTCCAGGACATGTGAGAGATGTATTTTTAGGGAAAATGTAAAAGAGAACCCCATTACTTAGCTTGTGGGTTTTGTTCCCTTAACTCTGAGAACAAAAAATCCAAGTTTTTTCTTTTTCAATGTCATTCTGATACTAGTGTGATAAACAGGTGTACAAATGTAATTTTCTGTTTTGATTTCAGAAATGTCAAGTTAACAGTATAATAGATCTGCCAAAAATATAAATTGAGTCTCAAAACCAGTAACAATCCAAGGGCTGTATAGTGCTTGCATTGTCTAACTTGAGTTTCTTCTTTTTTTTTTTTTGTCTATAGACACCCTATTTTTGGCCATCAAATTGTTGGGAGCCGGAAAACACAGACTACGGTCAGTGTAGAAATATTTCCTGTTTCTTTTGGAAATTATGCATTTTATTAATGAATGTGTCATTGCAATCTGTCTTGTTTCACCATCCCACTGTTTAAAACATAATTATGTGTCATGTAATTCCTGTGCAAGAGCTACTGATATTGAAATGAATGTGTTGCTACATTTTTCAAAGTTTATCAGAAGCTTATCAAAGTCATATTTTGGAGTGGATCTGAGGAAAAAAGAAATAAAACCCAAGCCCCAAAATTCAAGACTCATCAAAACCTACCTTGCTATTTATATCCTGTTTGCTCCAGGAAGTGTAATTATTTACAGTGAGAAAATCTCAGTGAAGCAGAGGAGACTTTATTGATGGTTTGCAATGGTTATTATCAGATTGAGACCCAAAGATTTGCCTAGTTTAGAACTCTTATTTCCAATATACACCACCTGGAAAATTACTGATTATGAAAAATAATATAGTTCTAATGTGAACGGTATTAGAAAATACAGTTTATTTTTTATTTGCCTGTGTCTTGGGAGTTTATTAATAAACTATATATTGTAATTACTGATGTGTGCTTAGACAGCAAAATCTGAGGATAATAGGTAGCAATGTATTAAAAATTATAACAAAGTTAGGTTCCTCTGTACATCAAATAGTGACCGAATTTTTAAAGAAAGTGTATCTATGAGCAGCCTCCTGTTCATTATAATCCAAACTGTTAAGTACTGAGCTCATCTGAAGACCAGGTCACTTATTTAGGTAACTGAGTGTGTACATGATAGGTTATGTTCTCCAAACTTCAGACCATGAATATTTCTTTTTATAGCTTTTCAGAAATTTAGGTGAGTGTTTACTTGTAATTTGGATTCTCTGCCCTTGGGAGCCAAAGACTTTGGGAATGGATGGTTCCAATAAATGCTTCCTTCCTTTTTAGAGCAGACTCAGTTTAATTTCAAATACATTGCTAAATAAAGTCATTTTAAGCTGAAACTCTCAGCAAAGCTGCATGTTTCCAAGGTACAGCTTGAAAATGTGACAGTTTCCTCATCCTATAGGAGTAGAAAAGTATTCAATTTTTTATTGATATTTGAAGATATCCAGTAAATAGTTACTGAAAGCTCCTAAGGAGGAGGGATTCTTACCATGTGTGCGTGCTTAGCCACTCCATATGAGGAAATTAGTCACTGAAGGAAAAATGATTGATTTACCATTTATTACTTCATTAAAGTCCCCTAATATGTTAAAGATCAACAAGTAATTAACTATGGTTTAAGAGACATTGAGTTATTCAGCTGTTATATGTATCACATTACCGGGATGGTTTTAATAAATAATTATATGCTTAACATGTCTGAATTTAAGATCAGGCTGAGAAACTTTATATTAATATTCTTTAGTCTAAAGTAGGAGATACTTACTTTCCTGTCACAGCTGATCTGTGGATTGGTCAATGTTATAAACCTTAGTCAGTAAATAAAAATCTTGTATAATGTGTCCAGGTTTGCCTGCCAGGAATACAGAGTTAAACTTGGCATCAGTGTCTTCATCATGCAGGGAGATGATTTTGTTGAACAGTAAATTTACTCATTTGAGAGCTTTTGAGATTTAAATGTGTTTCAGTTGCTGAGGTAAACTCTTTGGTCGCAGAGGGGAGAAGGAAGGGGAAGCAAACCCCCCAATCGTGCTATCTCATTGCTCCTTCCATGTCATGAGCCAGAAGTGCAGTCGTGTATGAAACAGACCGCAACTTCCCTGTGCAACACGGCCAGAGCATTGTACTGGAACTACCAAAAGTGTCACCAGAACTGGATAATGCTAGGGCATTTGCAGGAAAATAAACTTTTAAGGCACCTTTTCAATACTGTTCTTATTATGTTGGCTTCATCCAAGTACCAGAAATTAGCATTTCCCTTTTAAACAATGGTGATCAGAGGAATACAGGAAAATCAAAATATTCAATAAAAATATTTAAGGGACCAAAATTAATCTAAAGTAGTTTTGCATGTTCTGCAGATTTTCATGGTAATTGTTACTTCCTGAAAAATATAGTACATAGAATTTATGTTATTACAGATATGAAAATGCATTTCATACTTATCATGCATTATGGTGCTGTGTAGTGTTACCAGCTTCATAGACTTGTCTTGAACAAGCTTAAAACTGTGCCCTCTAGAATTGTTGACTGTGGCAGCCATTAGAAGTCTCTCAAGACCAGCAAAAAGCAAACTCTCTCTGTAATCTTCTTTGATCAAAGTTACTAACAAGGCAAATCACTTTCTTTGCCATTAACCTATTTCAACAAGCCACTGCAAATACTCTAGATTTTTATTTTAATTCAAAAATGAATCCTAACCATTTATCTTTACTCACCCATAACTGGGTTACTGTCCAGAATGTAGCATATTGCCAGGAAAATAATTTATATTAAATAAGAAATTTAATGAGATTGAGATACTGTGTGTTAGTTTATTACCAAAACTAACTAAGAAACAAATAATCCTTGCATATTTCTGTAACATGTTAATATCTTGTCTAAAATATAATTGGATCTATATGGGCTTGTAATAGCAACTATTTGCCTTAAAAAATATTTTTCTGTTGAAAGTATATTTGAAAAAGACATACAAACAGAATCTTCCAATATGTCAAAAAAGCACAGACACATTCTCATAATAAAGGTGTAGTGAACTGCCACGTCATGGTGGCAAAAAGAGGACTTGGATTAAGTTAATTTATGTCAAAATGGAAAATAGCCTTTTGATTGTAATTTCCAAAATATTGACTATGATCATTCTGAGGTTACTGAGAAACTACCGATTTTCATAAAGTGCTGAAAATCACCCTACTTTTTCTTGAAAATCATGCTTTAAGTGTTGTCAAGAAAGATTCCTGAAATTGCAAATAATTTTTACAAAGGCAGGTCATTAAGTTCCATCTGTTGAAGTCCCATTTTAGTGCCATATGTCTTGGAGTCCACCCAGGCAGGACATGTTGTTCTTTGTAGAATCCCATTGGTTTTAGAGTGATTTTGTTAGTGAAAATAAGTAGTAATAATAACAACTACTATTATTAAGATTAGTGTAGTTCAAATAACTTTGCTTTTTTCTGTGAGTTAAGACATGTTCCTGAGTTATGATTAGGTTTTGTGACAAACAGAATTGGATCCCAATTCAGCAAAACTGGCTCTTGAAGTGAACTCAGCTAGTGGCTGAGCATGTGACCTGCTTGGAATTATCTTCTCTTTTCTTACAGATATAATTTTGTAACTGACAGTTGTTTTTTTCCCTGGCATGTTATAAACAGGTCATGTCATTAAGAAGTAGTTAAATAGGGAGGCTAGTTAAGCCAATTGCATCCCAGAAAGGGGAAATATAATGCCACAGATGAAGTTGTTATTCCATGTGCACTTGGTCTCAGTTCTAATGGAACCTGTCTGGTTCTCTTGGAGGTTTAGTGACTCACAGCTGTTGCAAATTTGAGGCATTTTGTCCATTACTGTCCTCTTTTTTGAATAAATAGAAAATATGAAATGTTAAGGAAAAATTCCATTCACAACAAAATGGCAATTATTTGCACCTTTTTAATTTATGGCTTAATTTGATATATTTGTGAAAATGTATGTATGAATCAGACATAAAATAAGAAGAATTAGTAACTTTTACTCATTTTCTCTAGTGAACTTTTTGCTGATAGTGCCCTACTATCATAGGACACTCAAAAGCATCTTTGACATACCAGACTTTTTCTTGCAGTTAAATGCATATTAAAAAAAGAAACCTGCATTAAATGCATATTTAAAAAAGAAATCTGCTCAAAGGAGAGAAAGAATAAAATTTAGGAAGTGCCACAGTCACTTATAGTCTTAAGGAAGTTTGGACATACTAGAAGACAAAAAACCAACTGCATCTATATAGTTGCAATAGGACGTTTGAGCATTGTAGGGTTTTTTTCCTGTGCATTTCTCTCAAATGAGTTGAAAATGAAAGAGGACTCCAGAATGTTGGTAAGTTATAGAGAACACTTATAGTGTTAATTATCAGTTATAGAGTAAATAACTGATAATGCAACAAGAGTTTAAGAGCACTTGACCACGTGGTCTTTAAATGATGCTAAATGCGACTGTTTTTCTCTATATTCAAAGCAAATTCTTAAATTCTCTTGCTGTGAAGAAGGACAAGTTTTGAAAATGTAACATATTTTCAGTAGCCTTCCAGGTAAAGTCATTACAAAGAATTACAAAGGCAATCTCCTAGGAAATTAGAGCAATCATGGGGGTTGGGGTAAGTCTTAATTAATTACTCCCTTTTAAAGTGTGAGATACTTGTCTGGATAAATGCTGCAGCTCTTTAGATATACATCACTTCACTATCTATCCTGTGTTACAGTAAAATAGAGTAGCCATTTACTTTTGTTGTGTCAAAGCTGTTTAATTGTTGTTCTCCAGCATTTTTAAGAAAGTACCAGCCTTTCCTTATTAAATGTACTTGGTAATCAGCTAACAAGTCAGTCTGAACAACACTTCCTTCCTAATGATACTTTCTTATCGCTTAGAAGTAAACTGGCAGAAGTCTCTCCATGTTTTCTCTGCTGCTCTGTTCTGACCATGAGCCATTTCACCTGTCTCATTTCCCTCCTCTCTCCCAAACTCACAGTAATGCTAAAAAGTACATACTGCACAAAAAGTAACTGCAGTCATGTATCATGTTTTTCACGTGTTGAAAATTTTCCTATAATTTTCGTTTTAGTGTCTCTTGCCTAGTTATTTTCCATGCTTACCTTCAAATTCCTCTGAAAATTTGAGTAGCCCAGGAATTTTCTCTCTCATTTGTCTTTCTTTACCCTTTACCATAGAGTGACTATTTGGAAGAACTGTGTGGAGAATGCATTATATATTTTCATTGCCCAAATACACAGGGAGGATTTCCTTGGCAACAGCTTATTAGTAATTTGTATTTGAGAAATACTGATCCCTATTTCTTACCTGAACTCTGCTGGAACACTGCATGTTCTC